ACAATAATTGCTTAGGCTTACCATTGAAGATGCAGCTTCTGGAAGCTATCAAGTAAGGCTAGAATCGCTTCAGACTTTTCAACCTTCTTACGCATCAAGCAAGGTGAAAAACGAAAACGATGCCGTCTGAAATCGGATTTCCGACTTTGACAAGCGAAGTATTTCTAAACCAAAAACCCAATAAACAAACTAGCCATGAATAACAGAAGACTCTTGATGGCAGCTGAATTTCATTTTGTCCATTTTGTCCATCCCGTAGAGAAAGACAGTTAAGAGCATCACAAGTTGACACAAAACTTTTTCAGCTTCAGCTGTCAAAGTAAACAGGTTTCATTTGACCAATCAGAGCATAAAAATTGGACGTAGAACGCTGCGGGGCTAAAGTGCAGGTAACTGATCACAGGTCAGGTCACAGGTTACAGGCCACAGGTCACAGGTCACAGGCCACAGGTCAAACACAAAAACAATAGGACACTGGACAAAACTTTTCTGGACTGACGTTTTACTATACAAAAATAAAAAGAGCCAAGAGACCTTGATGATATTTTTGTCCTTTAAACAATATTAAATTCCACACATGGAATAATATTTTCATGCTGATCATACGACATATCGTAACGAAATCACAAAGGTGTGCAAAATCATGTGATTTCTACGAAAAACAAATTACTCGTTTTTCACTGAAAACGAAGGGTTGTCGTGTTATTAGAATGTCATCTCCAAATAAGCCGTGCAGCCAAGATAACTTGGAACGAGTCATTGACATGCAGCACTGTAATTCTTTGATACATTAGCAGTTTACAGAGTGAAAGATTCAAGTTGTAATGGCGGAATGCTCCTACCTAAGGGCCACGAGGCCAATTTAACTTAATTTCAAGCTGTTGTGCAACAGAAGGTGAGAAAATGGCAAGCTCTTGGGAGAAGAGCCGAGAAATATGGTCCAGCAAGTATTCGAGAGGCCCAAATAGCAGTGTCTGAAGTTCTTGGCCGACTGCACTTTAACACAGAGGCATTTTGTGGCTGGTACGAAGCGCGAGCAACAGGCCGCCATCTTCAAAAGAGATGGAAGACCGATCTAGTGGCAAGAAGAGTTTAGGACGAGAAAAGTCTGAAGAACGTTGCCGTATTTCAGTGGTCAAATAAGTTTTAGACTGTCCTTAAGTTTTTCTTCCGTTTTCCCGTGTAATGCCTTTCAAAACATCCGCAAACACGTCCTGACATTCTTAACACAACAACCCTTCGTTTTGAGATTCGTTTTTTCCTACAAATCACGTGATTTTGCGTACCTTTGTGATTTCATTACCAACTTTGGTTACGCTGTAATGCAAGTCCTCCTTGCGTGATCAACATGAATATATTTTCTCATGTGTGGAATGTGGTAAAGTTCAGAATAGAAAAAATATAATTGAGGTTCCTTGGCTTGTTTTATTTTTGTACAATAAAATGTCAATCAAGAACAGTTTTGTCCAGTGTCCTGTTGTTTTTGTGTGTGACCTGTGATCTGACTAGTGACCTGACCTATGGCCTGTGATCTGACCCGTGACCTGTAACCTGACCTGTGACCTGCACTTAAGCCCGCGGCATAGAGCGTGATCAACGCGTGACCATGGTGAGGAAAGTCAAAAGCAACTGTCTTCCCTGCCTGTAATAGCTGGCTGAATTTTCGCGTCCGAGGTCAGTTTGAAATAAAAATTTTAATTGTGTGGCACACAAACACAATATATTTCATGAATTTAAAAGAATTAAACTTGAGCCCGCGATCATTTGAAAACGAGTAACTTGTCAGCGGATAACTTCAAAAAATACTCGAACTCGATGGGAGGACACCTGCGCCGGCGATACGGTTAGGTGATACTGGTCAGCGGATATCCTGTTTGACAGCGGTCAATTGATCACAACATTGATATGCAATATGTGTGCAACATCAGTTTTCCTGTGCTCCCAAACTAGCTAGAAAGTGTTGAGATTGAACATTGGTTAACCTGTGGTGCGGACGGACGGTCAGTAGGGCGTACGATCACGTGATTACCCAAATTTCGCGAAAACTTGATATCTTCACATGTGAAAATAACATGTTATCTTCACATGTGAAAATATCACCATTGCCATGGCTTCATAATAAACCGCACCTTTCAGACCTAGAAAATTTTAAGTAAAATGGTTTGGCATTTCATTGGTGTTTATATAATAAATAGAATATTACACGGTCGCTTGGAGATACGAAATTTTCTTCTCGTGTTGAAAAAAATATTTCACTCGTTTGCTGCACTCAAGCGTGAAATATTTTTCAACACTCGAAGAGAAATTTTTTATCCCGCGCGGCCATGTAATACCCTCTATGTACAAGTTTCCATTTCCGTAGCACGTTTCATTTCGAAAGAACAGCAATTTGAACCTCCGAGTTTTCACAGTTCGTGACACCAAAATAGAAATGCTGTCTCATTGAATTCATTTTATAGCAGCATAATAACCTTATCTTTTACGCCACGAAACGATGTCTTTTGGCCGTAGAAATTACATGTATAAGCGTTGCAAGCTCAAAGTTTTTAGCCTTGAATTCACTGATTCCATATTTGGGCAAAATAATTTTCCGTGCTAAAAAACCCGAGAATGGTTCTTAACACATAAGGGGTTAGACGCTTCGGGGAGTATATGCTTCTGTTTAAAAACATGGCTAAAACATGGTTATCTCCATCGCTGTTAAGTTCGTCTACGATAGTGCACGTTTAGGGTTGTTCAGCTCAGCAAATATTCTCCAAATAGCAGATGTCGCCCTTTGAGTTGTCTTCTTGCTGTTCTTGCCATGTTTTTAGCTATTATTTCACCTAGTTCCTACGGTTGAAACGAGTCAAATGTTCGCCATTTTTGTTTTCACAACCAAAACAACTCAACCTCGTCTTCAGGTCTTCTCGGTTAACGGTGCATTAACCCGCAAAAACGCTGCTCTTTTGAGGTCATCGGTTCATTAAACACAAAATTTTTCCAAATTTGGTTATCAGTAGCTGGTTATGGTGTATTACGCGCGTGCTTTTAGCCAATCAGAATCGGGGAAATATTTTGCATGAATAAAAATTATACATATACATTTATTATAGAATTTTCTTTTTTCTCTTGTGCCCGCCTCGAATAGCCTTCTTTAATTGCGGGCACAAGCTTTGTAAGGGGCTGTTTACATGGGGGGGAAGATCCTAGAGGGCGGATCATCCTAGCGCCATTTGTTTTCTGTATTCAGTTTACATGCAAAGGGTTGTACTTGTCCCTAGCACTAGGATCTTCCTAGTACTAGGATCTTCGCAGCTGAGCACCATGTAAACTATTTTCGCTAGGAAGATCCTAGTACTAGGGACAAACGCGACAAAAATGGCGGAGGGTCGTTCAGTGGCTAATTACGGCAATAAAGGCCGACCATCTCGTTTGGAGTAATCCACGAGCAGATTATTGTGTTTATTCAGCTGATAGGTAGTGATTTACGCCAGTAAAGAGAGCAGAAGGACCCAAATTGCATTTTTGATTTTGTCGCCCGCCATATTCCGTCTCTAACCTTCTCTACTTGGACAACTCAAATTTCTGCATGTAAACCCAAAGTAAAGTTATTCCACCTTCTAGGATCTTCCTGGTACTAGGATCTTCCTCCCTCCATGTTAACAGCCCCTAGGCTATACTTAAATTGAAATAAGCTTGTTGTTGTTGTTGTTATGCTGAACCGACACTGATTCTACTTTCATGTTTTGAGCCCAAAACGTTCCTAACATGACTTCTTCTTAACGTAAATTATAAAAGTGGAATTTCAGGAAAGCAACACAAACTTGAGCACGACACCTATAAACGATCCTTGTACTTTGCACCTTATGTATCAATTTACTTTTACATATGCCCAGCTAGCCTTTACTTGAGTGGTGCCGCACGAGCCCACTTTTGGCTACGAGAGAACTAAAATCAATACTGATGAAATAGTTTAAGATTGTTTTAACATCAAGGAAAAAATACTCGGCACGACACCCTTTGACAAAAAAAAACAAAAAAAAAAACATGCCACTTAAATGTCAACTAGAAAAAATTTCACATGGCTAGAAAAATGTTCATCCCCATAACTATTCTAAGGGCCTGTTTACCTGGAGGTGGTGGACCCCAAGTAGCTAGGAGGTGATTTAACCCACTTTGGTTGGGTAACCCGACTGTCAATACAATCTCTCATTTTAATTTGATCACGCTTACATGATAGGTGGGGTGACCCGCTGCATATTACCTCACCTATCTTGAGTACCCCACCTCCATGTAAACTGGCTTCTTCCTTGAAAAGCTTAGTCCGCTAAACTCAAGTTTTACCGCAATTACAGTATTATTATCTGGGCTCGCTTAGTTTATAAAATACCTCCGAGTTTTTCTCCCTCATGGTGGGGATTCGCCGTCTGACTTTCCAAATCCTTACCCTAGACTGTATTTCAGACCAATAGCTATAAGAGGGGGGTAAAGGGGTTATTGCGTGATATTCGTGAAAGGTGAAAATACGAAATTATAACCCGTGAACTGTGACTGGTTTGCTTGTCGTGATACGTGAACTTTAAAATCTTTTACCCGATGTTCGTGATTTTTAACTAATTTTTTCGTGAAATAGTCTCTACTGAAGACAAATTCTACAGGGAAGCTAGTGGACCTTCAATTGAATTTTTCTAAAAGGTCTTAAAAAACTCAAGGCCGGTTATTTAAACGAAGTTTAGCCAGTGGTTGACAAAACGGTGTTCTGAGCCATTTTGAATTTTTTCAACGCCTTTATCTTAACACCGGTTATGGTGGACGTTCCATAGCAGCAACAGGGTAGACTAGGGTCGTTTACGTCCCCATATGGTACAATGCATACCATTTTCTGCTGACTGCTGACAGAGTTACACCCACAAAAAAAAGGAAAAAAGGAAAATTTCACTACCAATTTCGCTGTTTACATACTACTCCTTGAACATTAAATTTGTCCCTTTCCTAAAAAGTTAGCCAACCACAATTCCATGCAAAAGAAAGATGATAAAGTGGGCAACAAAACCGCCAATAAAGGAGGTAAAAAAGGGAGTGAGAGAGAAAGATCGAAATAGATTGAGGTGAAAAACAAAAAAGCTGTTTAATTACGTCAGATTAGTTGGAAAATATGTCTTTTTTCTCGAAAAACTAGTTTTTAGCCATAGTTATGCTAATTAGCCGAAAACTAGTTCAAGGAAGAGGAATTGGTGGAAAGTGCTGTTTTTTCGCTACTCGCCGGCGTCACCTAAGGGTTAAAATAACCCACTAAAGTAGAAAGAGATCTGGATGCCCAATGATTTCTTTAACCACGGCCTAAGTTGGGCTTTGTTTTAAATAACCGGCCCTTACAGTCGTTCCTATTATATATGTCGTCCTAAACTATGACCAAGCCTGCGAGAGGAGACAACTTTTTTGGCTCTTGTATCACCCGCCGAGAAAAGCGAAGGGAAACGATTTGGCCATCCCCATAAAATGTTTCGTTTCCCATCGCCCGACCGACCCATTTCTTTGGAAAAGTAAAAAAAAAAAAAAAAAAATTCCAGAATCACTTGTAAAGAAGCAAGTACTTTAATTTACAAGCACACGGTCTTTTCTTATTAACTCCAATTGTCTTCAATTATCATGGATACTTCGTTTTTGTAGCCTTTTTAGACATTTGATAGTCCTGTTCATAGTACATCTTTTACCATCTGATTATATCTTGCAGACTAAACGCGAGATTTAATATGCAATCATGTGTTCATTCTTTTTTTTTTTTTTGCCCGACCGACCGACCCACCTTCACGAGAGGGAGGGCGATGGGAAACGAATCATTTTATGGGGATGGCCTTTCCGTGAGCTGACGAGTCAGTTTTTTTTCCAAGCAATCATAATTCAACTCTTATTTTCGTGGAGCTAACACATGTGGGGTTTGCGTGGGGATCTTGGTTGCATGGCCGGTAGTTTTTAAATTAGAGGGAGAAGTTTTTAACTTGGAAGGAGTAATATATTATGTAGATCCTAAATCTGTGGAATCGATGGGTTTTCTTGGAGGTAAAGAACGAATTTGAATACCCATAAAGAGTAAACATTCATCCCTTGAGCGTCACATCATTGAGTAGACTGGTTTGAAATCTTAGTCCGAAAAGTGTGGTCTAATAAGGTCCTCGATTGAAATAAAACTCTAGATCTGTCGGTTAGAAAAGTCTGCAGAATGAAGCAAAGCTTCTGCGGTAAACAACGACGACAACGAGGATGAAATGGCTTTTCTACGAGCAGTTACTATACTCTTAGCAGAAGAACCGTCAAACTCAACTTTGAGACAAGGGAGAGTCAAATGACGTTCCTTTTGAGTACTATATATCCGTCAGCATTAGTCATCATCAGTTTACCTACAACTACATTTCATTTAGCCTGCGAAAATATCCGTTTCTCCTCGCTCCTCGTCGCTGGGGACGTTTCGCGCGGAGGAAAAACCCGGCTCCCCAGCGGCGAAGAGCGAGGAGAAACGGATGTTTTCGCAGGCTACATTTCATTGTATGTTTACCTGACTTCCGTCACTTCGCTGTATCAGTTGTGCGGAAAGTCCAGCCATGCACTGACCTTCCTTTTACTTGGGAAATTTCCGTGAAAGGTGAACACGGAATTCTAATCCCCGTGATGCGTTATTTCTACTTTTTAATTTTCGTGATTCGTGCGTAGGACCCGCCCTTTACCCCCGTCACATAAGGCAAATGTAGGGAAGTATCCAGCGGGAATTTTGGTTCACAAAATGAACGCTATCAACTATGAACTGAGAAATCCGGGGCGTATTCCTGGTAGACTGCTTGCAGTCCGCCTTTTCTCTTAAAATCCGCCTAGTTCTTATCTCATGCAGCGCGATTGCAAACCACGACGTTACTATTACAGAGACGCCCTCGTTTCCCGCGGCTCCCGACTTCGCCGCTCGCGTGCTTAGGTTTCGCGTGCAGTAACTTTGCAAAGAAAAACAAGAGACTGCACGCAGTCTATATTCCTGGGTATTTGTTGTGGAGTGTGCTTTGGCTTTTCAAATCGGGACTCTAGATCTTATTTCAGGTCAATACCTGAAATGTAGGGGAGTACTTCCCCGGGGATTTTCGTTGTCATGACCATAAATTATGTTATCATATTCTTGCTCCGCATTTAAAAAGTCACTGGTTACAGCAAAGGAACGTGCTTATTGTAGATCACCACGTCTAAAAAATATATATATTCACTTGGACAGCGAGAAAGGCTTTAAACGCAGTATCAGACAAAAACAAAACTTAAATTTATTTGCTTTTGTTAGCTTTAAGAACCAGAATTGAGAAATGTACTGCTTGTTTAAAGTAGAGCGACAATAATTCAGGAATTCCCGGTTACTGAGGTCAAATTAGTTACGTTATACTGTCACACTATATTTTGGGGGGGGGGGGGGGGGGAGGGGGGGGGGGGGGGGGGGGTTTAAAAATAGGGCAAATCGGTCCCTCACCAAGGGGGCAAATCGCCTTTTTTTTATCCACCTTGTGGTGTTATTAAAAACCTGTTTTCTTTAAAATTAATACTCTTTTTTCTGTTCAGATAGTGCACTAAACAGAGGTCTATGTTTCTCTATATATTTTGTTGTGTGTATGGTATAAAAACTAACAAGGAGAGAGATTTGTTTGTATTTTTGGAGAGGAGAAGAAAAACATGAGTCCCTGGTGGTTGTGGAGTTTATGTTTTTGGTTTTATTGTCCAATGTGGTGGGGAGGGGGGGGGGGGGGGCAGGGGGATTGGGGGATGGGCGCGTTAAAATAATGCGAATCGTTTCCTGCTTAGAATGGCTAACTTGCCTATTTTTATTCACAATCCGGTTAAATTTAAAACTTACTGTACTTAATAATAGTACTCATTTTTCTTGTTACGAAAGTCTTCCAAAAAGGGTGCAATGTTCTACTCTCACATGAGATTTTACGTCACGCAACGGTCGGTTTTATGGTAGCCTGAGTATGTACAGCCGCCCCTTCCACTTAGAAAAAATCGCTTTTCCGCGATTCTTGTTTAGCATAGTTTCCCTGCATGCTGTTTGCTTGTTTAATCAAAGTTCGACTTTTTCCTTTTTTAAAAGAGCCATTGCGTTTAGGGAAGGGGCAGAGGATTTTGAGGGGGGAACTTACTGACAATATTTTGGAAAAAAAAGGAGCCGTAAAAATCACTGAAGGCAGGATGCAAGTTCTTATTAATTACTCACGTATTTGTAACATTTACAGATAAACTATGATACAAGTGAAGTCCCTTATTTCCACGTTAGAACTGCTAGTTCAATGTACAAAAAGTCCTTTATTTACGTAACGAGTAATCAGCTCAATCTTCATCATCTAGATGGGGGTGATGAACGATAGAGACACCCAGAAAGATGTACATGAAGATGAAGAGCAAAGGAAAAACTAAACGAGTTACGACTGGGCCCAAGATTGAGGCCTTCACCATTGCCCCCCTTGAACAAGCAGGATTTCCTGTTCCCTGCTCCCTTCAAATTGAAATGATGACAATAATATAGCAGTGAAAAACTTTTTCCTGTACTTGTCTAGCTTTACATGAACACGAGGATATTTAGGGAAGAAATTTGATAAGACAAAAGTAAATTCAATATTCAAACCCAAGACGAAGTCGAAGAATTGCTTAAGTATTCCAAGGTTTAGATTTGGGCCAATATTCGGCCATTCCACGCTATAAGATTACGGGTTATTTTTCCCCGTTCCCGCGTTCCGTTAATCCGCTATGCCGCTATTCCGCTATTCCTCCCCTTACGATCGTCCATTGCTTACGCCAAAGCTGAACAATCTCCGTCGCGATCTACACACCTACAATGCAATTATCAGTCCAAAATCTCCCTCACTTTATACATACCCTGCTAGCAGAGGCCTCTTTTCCCCCAGCGAATGACTGTCAAGGGAAAAGAGCCTCTGCTAGCAGATCTAGCAAATTTGTCTTACGCGTGCCGTTTGGACTGGCATGCTAGAACTTTTGACATTTATTTATACTTGCAGTGACGTTTTACAACGTTTTGGACTTGTACAACAGTCTTGAAATTTGCATTAATTATTTCAGTTGTCACTGGCAACACACTTAATAATTTACGTAAAACAAAGCCTGATACGTCCAAAATGACATCACTGTCCTAGGATATCTACCCTATGATTGGCTACTGATGACATCAGTGATAAATTTAGTTAGGCGATTGCACCACCATGCATTGAAATAGTGCAACAAGCGTCCAATGTTTCATCGTTATTGACAAATTTCCTCGCGAGGTACGTCGGGGAAATCAACAAGACTTCAGCAGGTTGACAGCGCTCGAAATCGACAGCATTGGCGCCGATTTACAGCAAGTCGGTGCTCCACGGAACAACTTCTCAGAAGCTCAAGGTTTAGCCACACGACGGCAGATTTGACGCACAACTTTTACTCATCAAATATTTCGAAATGTATTTTGTCAGAGCAGCCAAAAACCTTTCTTTCTCCGCCACTAAGAACGAACTTTGCCGGCCTTTGCCTCGAAATAGTCGACCGTCGAGTCGACCTAATCGAGGCAAAGCAGGGCCATTCTTTACACGCCGACGAAAACCCATACGAAACGACAACGGATTACAAGGACATGATCGACAGCACTGGAAACCGAACCCCAACAGTGGATACAAGTGGACTGTTTGATGACATTGGTAAGTCTCGTTCTAGAATTATTAGAATCACGATTCGTCTATGCAGCATCACGATAATTCGAACGTAAACTAACTTGTTCCCTTCCTCAGTTAAACTCTTTAATTCTACCCCGATATTTACAACCTCCTGATAATTCGAATCATGCATTTAAATGACCGGTCGTTTCGCCCACGTCCCATTCGCTAACGTGAAAACGACCGTAAACCCGTTTAGCGCATCATTAGGACTTGATTACACCGTACTTGTTCAACTGCGAACACTTTGAAGTATTTAAAAGTCTTCTCTACCGATTTCTTCGCCGTGCACGCATAACAAGAATGCAGATAATATTTACATTTGTATTAATCAGTGCCCCTTTATCAATTTTTTTTCCGTCTCTGTTCTGGTTAATGTTTACTTACTTTTCAAAGACAACAGTTAGAATTGTGGGAACAAAAAAATATACAACATTTTAAATGTATCTCTGCATCACCCTTGTAATTTTTTCACAACAGGAAGCTTGTCTTGCCAAACAGCTTTCTGACAATCTGTTGTTTATTTACAGAATTGCTGAATAACCCATTAGAAGACACCGATATCTTGGACCAGGAAGGTCCTGATAAAACCAAGTTTCCACTTGGCTTTCTTGATGAGCTGAACACCACCTTGCCAGTAACTACAGATCCATTAGAAAGTATTCTGGATTTGGAAAAGTCAACAAGTTCAATGGACAATCCATTCTTTGAAGAATTTATGGATCTTGACCAGCTATTTCCAGAACTCTCATCTGTTGACTTTGGGTTTGAAGTGGAGCAGGCCTCGCCAGTTCTCACTTCAGACATCTGCCAATCAGATGTAGTGACCGTAGATACTGGCGAGTGTCCTGAAGCAGCTTCCCCCTGTAGTGACATCATTGACGTGGTAACATTTGAAAGTAGTGCTGAGGTACCAATATGTCCGCTGGATGAAAGCATCATTGACATTGCCCTCTCCTCTGAGTACACAGTAGATGTAGTGACTGTGGACAAGGGTAGAGTCTCCATGGAGACAGTCACAGATCTTATTGGCTGCCACCAAATTGAGGCATCATCTCAACCTGTGTCTGATAAAGCTGAGATCACAGTAGTTGAAGCATCGGACCCATTGACACTTTTGACACAAGAGCTGACAGAAACATCCTCCTTGAAAGAAATCAGTGAGCTTCCCCCATCAACTCTGACAGTTAACCTTGATCAACTGCTGGCATTTTCTTCTACTGTTGAACTTGCTGATGTTGCATCATCTTGCACAGATAATGGTACTGAAAGCACAACAGGATCGCCAGAGGTTTCTGTTAACCCTGAGACTCGGGCAAACAAAAAGAGAGCATCCTCTGAAGAAAGATCCCATCCTCCACCCAAAAAACCTAAGTGTAATGATGGTGATGGTAGTGAACTTGACAAAAAAACTATCAGGCGACTTAAGAACAATGTTGCTTCTAAATATGCTCGTGCTGCCAGAAAGCAGAAAGAACAGGAATTGTTTAAGCAGGAAGAGGAATTAGAGAAAAGCAATGCTGAACTGCGGAAGCAGTTACAAGAACTTGAGCTTCTCACAACTGCATTAAGGAAAGTTCTTGTTGAAAAATTAAGTGGAGCAACATTTCCTTTGTAAAATAGCAACAATGAGTGAAAGGAAAAAAAGGGAAAAATTTAAAAAGGAATAAGGTTTCCATTAATATTTAACTGTAATGGAAATTACTCAAAAAAAAAAAAAAAACCAAAACAACTTAAGACAAAAAAAAATAAAGAAAATTTTTGTAAAAAAATAAAGTAGAAAAACATTTCCTTTGAAAAAAAAAAAAAAAGAGTAAAAAGAAAAAAAGGGAAAAATTTAAAAAGGAAAAAAGTTTCCATTAATATTTAACTGTAAAGAAAATTACTAAAAAAAAAAAAAAAAACCAAAACAACTTACGACAAAAATAATAAGTAAAAAAAAAAAGAAGCAAAAATTTGTTACTCGCTTTGAACTAATATGACCAGCACTGTCTGTTGCAACTACAGACGTGTGTTATATTACAAGCCATTTGGTCTAGCTGCTGATTATTCATAACATTATAGTGGTATATTTTACTCACATTATTAACCAGTCATTTAAAATACTGTTTGTTGTAATAATATTATTATTAGGGTGTTTGAGTTGAAAATAAACAGGGTTAATCAATGTTATGGTTGTGAATGTTTGTTTTGTTTGCAGGGGATAGATTATTACTTTGTGGCTCAGTCAGATCATGTAGCAGGACAAGTAGGGAGATTTTAATAAGGGCAGGGCCTCCTTGCATTGGCACCATTTGCTTTGCACTACATAGGGTCCAACAAGGGTTAATGAATGTCAACAAATGATCATTGGTAGGTAATCACACAATTTTCCAAAAAGGGATTCATTTTTGAAGAATTTTAGAATAATTAGTTTTTGTTTCTTGGTAGATTGTAATGGTTCTTCAATGACAAGATCCAACGTTCCTACATATTCTCAGGGCTGTAATTATTGTCTCATGTTGCATGGAATACCGTAAAATGCCAAAAATAAGCCCCAGGGCTTATATTTTTCAAAGGCTCTTTTTGAGGGGCTTATCTACAGAGGGAAATTTGTGGTTTCAAAATCGATTGGGCTAGCCTTATAGTTGGAAGTAAATTTACCGTTTTTGCTTTGTTTTACTTTGTCTTTGAGGGCAATTTTCTAAGTACAAGCCCCCGGGGGGCTTATATTTGGAGGGGAGAGCTAGCGGAGGGTTTTATGCGTTACTGGTTTGGGGGGCTTATACATGGAGGCGCTTATTTTCAGAATTTTTCGGTATGCAATTTGAACCGCTGGGAATTTCCTTTGGTTCTACATTGCATTTTCCTTTAGCTTCCTATGAAAAAGGGTGCCAGGGGTTATGCTCATAGCAGCCTGGGGAAATCCCCCGAATTATTCCACAGGCACTTAAAATGAAATGTGGCTTGATTCTTAACATTGGAGGTTTTAGTTGTTGTTACAACCTTTTTTTTAACCTATAAGAAAAGGAAAGAGGTGAAAAGATGCGTTTAGATTTGGCTTGTCCTTCTTTAGCTTTCTCAACTTCCCAGATTTTTTGTCTTTATTGTGTTCTTCTTAATGGTTTCATGGAGTCAGTTAAACATTAAACGCGCCAAAATTTTGGTGCAGTGTTGGTGGATGATTTAAGTGGTGAAAATCAAAATATGAAATATTTGATCACAACAATATAAAGCATTGCTACTGAGATATATCACCTATGAGACTGTATTTCTTCAATTGACAATGTTATTATTAAATTCCCAACAACAAAATATCAACTTTATAATGTATTATCTTCATTATTATTATTGTTATCTTTTATTCATAATTGTACCAATGCCATCAACATAACGTTCATTTGATTATGAAATTCTTTCTATTCCCGAGAATGATAATGCTAAATCAGAAAACGTTAATAATGACTCCACAAAGCATTTTTATAAGTATAACATTTTAACTGTAAATAACAGTAAATAAAATAAATCTCTTGATTGACTAATGATAAGTTAATAAAATAACTGAACATACTTGGCAGGTTATCAGAGCTACTTTTAACTTGGTAGTGGTAGGGCTATTTCCCAACCATAAACTGTATTACAGACAAACAGTGTGACTGCTAATGGAAGAATGAGTCCTCACACTCATTCTCTGTCATTTCTGGATGGTCATGTTTGCCTATAGTCATCGCGAACTGAACAGTAACAAATGTAAAGTATAAACTTAAGTGACCTTTCTTACACCAAAACGGTGTAAGAAACAATAATATTAATAAGCAACAATTGTCATTCCTCACAAAAAAAAAAAAAAAAAAAAAAACAAAATTACACAACAAAAAAAAACTTTTTTTTTTTTAATTTTTTATTATTTAATTGAGTAAAAAAAACAAAAAAAAAAAAAATAAAAACACAAAAAAACGTAATTTTTTTTAAAAAAAGAAAATCAGGTAACCCACGCAACAAAAAAAACAAAACACTTCTTTTAATCCCCAAAAAAAAAAAAAAAAAAAAAAAAACCAGTTTACACCTGCAAGGCTTTCTTTCTTTGTATAAATTTCCCAATGCTCCACTGGGTGTGCGGAACCATATAGTACCCATTGAAGACACACAAAATCGTCATTTTGTCTGTATATGTTAAATCTGGTAACAACTGAAACAAAACACACAAAGATTATGTTTTACAGCTGTAAACTATAATTACATTGTACTGAACAGCTCTGGGGAAAATTAAAATAGTTGGCCTAAAAATGATACATTATTGCTGAATGACAGAAACAGACTCTCAAGAAAAATCCATGAAAGTTGCAAATCGGCAAAGGCTTGACTTTGGCACTGGTACTGATCAGTTGAAAATTTTGTTACTTCAGTCTATTCTTACTTGATCAATTCTCGCAGTTGTTTCTTTAAAAGTTTTTACCAGTTTTGACAGATCACAATCTTTTTAAATCCATTGTTGAGCAAGGTTGATTGTACACAGTTTTTGCAGGGATTTTTACCCAGTAACTTAGTGTAATACTTTATACCTGCCATGCCTAAGTGTCACGCCTGCTGACTAAAGAGATCAATGTCACACATCAAGGACAATATTATTATCTGTCACGCCTTACTCGCAAATCCGGACATAAAATCAACTGTTCTTTAATGGACGTTACCAAATTGTTTGAAATAAGCCATTTTTCATTCAAAATTGTAGAATTTACCAAATTCAGCATGAAACAGGTTTGTAAACTGAAGAAAAAAGCAACTTTCATGTTGATGTTAACACATGATTAATAAAAAAAGTTCAATTCAATTTCCCTGAAAACATTCCAAAAAGGTGCTAAATGCTGACCTTGTGTCCTAACTGTATCAAACCCACGCTAAAATTGTCGCCTTTAAAAAGCTTTGGAAGTGCTCAAAGGTTGTCAGAACACCTTTGGACACTTCCGGCAACGTTCAGAAGTCTTTGAAAATTGTCAAACTCTTTAGAAGTTGCGGGGATGTTTTGTGAAATCCTGGTAATGACAAGAAGGAAGTCTCATGCCTTTGACTCCAAAAAAGAAGGCAGGTAAATTTAGCTACAGGTAGCCCACATCAAGTGCACATGACAGACGGCTGTTGCTGTATGTCTTACCTTTGGTGTTATGAGGAAATATTGTGAGGTATTCTCCTTGCAAGCTGTCTTCACTACAAGTTCAAATACTCTTCTCTCATTGTTGGGGTCCATACCCTGAAAAATGCAACACATTAGAATGGTTCTCAATAATAAATCATTGATTGATGGAAAAAACTCTTGCTGATTGTCTTTGTGCCTTTGGCTTTTAACAAAGCTACATAATGGCATTTCAAATGGTTTCAATATTACCATTATGTAGCTTTCTTAGACATGCAAAAGAGCGTTCTTCTACTAATTTAAAAATAATGTCTCCTACGATTATTAACATTATTTTCTGTACCAGGTGTGTGTTGAGGGGATGCTGTAACCATTTGACAAAGCAAGGTTTCAACAGTCTCTCAAAACCACTCAACAAATGGAGAGAGAAATTGAGTCTGACTGAATTGAGTATGTAGGAGCCGTGTCAGGAAGTCTATCAAAATTCTAACAGTAGGAACTGCCACCAAATTGAGTGAAATATAAAAATAACGGCTCAAAACATTAAATGAAGGAATTATACATAACACAGTAAATACAAAAGGAGGTATGGATGGGCAAACTTGAAGAAGACTGAACTGGATTAAAATTGTTGTTTGTAATACTTAAAATAATACTTGGGGTATTTATTTTTTTAAGAAGCTGTGATTTTGTTGTTTACAAGTAATTTCTCCATTAACATTCAGTTCCATAATCAATAAGGAAGCATAATTGGCAATAATAATTATTAGCAAAATGCAGGGGCACCCAATGACTGTTTTCTGTAAAATATCTGCTCGGAGAAGCAAAAATTGGCTAAAATTTTCTATAGCTTGAGGCAAGGCTACAACTGTCTAGATGACCGTTCCATTCATGTACAATTTTCGAAGCGTATTCAATAAATTCCCTACGATTTTCTGAAGTTTAACCCTTTCAAATTTCACTCCCAACGTTAAGCTATCTAGAAAAAGGACACTAAAATTTTTGGGATTCAAAAATGTCATGGAGAAAGGAACCAGAAAAATAATCTTACTTTCATAAGGCTTTAGATTGCATCTACAATTTTCGGGAAAATAATACTGATGCCCTTGTAATTTTGAAAAGACTCGAGTTGCTCTAAGAGGACCGAACAGATACAAATTTTATAGCGCTGCTTAAAATGCATTTCTAGAGATCTAAGAGTTCTCTGGATAGCCTAAAAAGTGTATTCAATGCATTTAGAACGAAACCCATTATTGGGTGCCCCTGAAAATGAAGGAGACAGCTGTGACACAGCCTCTTAAAGTAAATGTAATGTAAAAGACCCACCTGGTTAATCTCGTCCACTACTCTAAATGGACATTTAGTGAGTTCTTGTAGAGCCATCAAGTACAGCATAGTTGAAACACTTCGTTCTCCACCACTCTGATGGAATGGTGTCAGCACATGGAGGCTGTCTTTAGAACGGAATTTCACTTTAATCTGAATACCATACTTGTCAAAATTGTTTT